CTTCTGAAGTCCATTCTGGGTTAGGTTCTTACATCCCTATTGAGAAACTCTCTCTGGCTCTCAGTTGAGCAGCCTAGATTCCAGCAGCCTGGGGGTCAGCCCTCCACTAAGTTGTCACATTGCTACATTTTCCTCTCTGGACCTTGGTTTGACTACTTATAAAAAGAGGGGATTGCGGGTGGCAGTATGATACAGGAGAGCAGAATTTCCCAGCCTTGGAAAATCAGAAGATTTGGTTGAAAATTGTGACTGTCCCTTGGTGGCTAATTGAACTTTGACAGGTCACTGGGCTCCAGTCTCTTCCTCTGTAAATAGAAGAGGGGGACTGGATAACCTCTAAGGTCCCTTCCAGAGATGACGTTCTTCAATGACAAAATAGTCTGTCAGCATCTTTCCCCTCTTTTAATACCCTTCCCTTCCCCCAACCTCCCAGGAGCCCAGCCCTTCAATGTCCTCATCAGTAACATGGACAATAGAATAGAGGGCGGGGCCATGACATTGGGCTGTTATGGTGGGGCCCGATTGTGGAGGACTCTAAGACAATAGGGAGCCATGGAAATTTCTTGAGCAGATGAAGTGACAGGAACACAGTTGTGTTTTAGGGAGATGAATCTGGCAGCATGTACTAAAGAGATTGGTGAAAGGAGGAAATGGAGACCCTCCTTTGAAGCAAAAGTGGAAGCTGGACTTGGAGTCAGGAGAACCAGGGTCACATTCTATCTCTGGTCCTTCTCATGCACTTAGGGTAAATAAGTCCCTTTGCTGCTTTGGGCCTCAGTTTCCCAAATGTGAAATGAGCTTTGAATTAAATGATAAATAAGGTCCCTTCCACCTGGAATGTCAGATGTGAACTGCTCTGTTCTACAGAAGGGCAGATTTTCAGGAGCTAATTATCTTCTGAGCTGTAACCATGGCCAGAGGGACATTCTCTTGAGGCTGGATGATGCCAAAAGCCAGGGTGAAACTTGGTCCCCAGTCTATGAATGTACCCCCCTGCCTCAGGACTCTTCCTAAAATGCTTCAGAGGAGGATTTTTTTATCAAGCTAAGCTGTCCCTACTGAGAGTCTTATATGAGCCTGCCCAGACCTGTCCTAGGCCCTTGGGGTAGGGAAGGAGCAGGAGAGAGAAGTCAAACAATGTAGGCCCTGCCCCTGAGGAGCTCTGAGGTGGGGAAATGAGCTTAACTCCTGTAAAGACATTTATAAACCAGATGACACTGTAGGGTCTGCTTGTGGGGTACAGGGAGATGGCCCACCCCACTGCTTAGAGACTCCCCTCCCATCTCTCACTTTCACCAGCTGAACCAGTGTTCTGGGGAAGGGGCCTGATTTCTTCCTTTTGGTCCTAGAGGCTGAATTGGGAGCAACAGCTAGAAGTGATAAGGAGGCCTATTGAGCCTTCCTGCCCAGGTGAGCTGCCCCAGGTGGGTGGGGCTGCCTCAGTAGGGGCCGAGGATGGACTTGTATGAAATAATGAAGAGTGAAAAGAGCAGAACCAAGAGAATGTTGTATACAGTGACAGCAATATTGTTTTAAGAAGAACTTTGAGCGACCAAGTTCTTTTGACCATGAAGGAAGATGTTATCTGTATCCAGACAAAGAACAGATAAGTAGAAGTATGTATACAACTATTTTACACACACACACACACACACACACACACGCATTTTGCCTAATGGTAGCCATCTCTAGTTGGGGGGGGGAAGGAAAATGAAAGGAAAAAAGTTACATGACAATATTATATATTTAAAAGGAATTGCAAGTTGTACACAATAGATTTGCAGTCTGATGTGAAATCAGCTTTTTTCCCCTTATTCTACTGTTATAAAAATGGTTGTTTCATTTCTTAAGGTCAGAGTAAAATAAATTTTAAAAAAATAAGAAGCAGCCAAGTCATCCTCCTCCAGAAGGCCTTCAGCCAGGGGCTGGATGACCACGTACCCTGGATATTTTAGTCATTTCAGTGGTTTCCTTTCAGTGGCTGGTAGAACTAGGTGGTTTCTGAGCTCCCTTCCAGCTCTGAGGTTCTGTGAGGAGGCTGAGTCCTGGTGAGACAGTGCAGCGTGAGCCTGAGTGTGAGGCCTCTCCCTTCCCTTCCTTCATCCTCAGAGCTCCTCTGCGTCCTCACTTACTATCTTCTCTTCCTCTGCCCATAGAAGGAGAGGCCTCCCTGCTCGTTAAAGCTGATTCCTCTCCTGGTGCCACTGATCCTGTCCCCTTTTCTCCTTCCCTCCCCTAGGACCCTGCTCTGTAATCATTCCCTCTCTCATTCATCTTCTGGGTCTCTTTTTGCAGTGGTTCCTTCCCATTGGCCTAACACTCCCCAGCCCTAAGGCTTTCCACGGTATTTTTACTCCCATCCAGTAACTGCCTTCCCTACTAAAATTAGGGTCAAAGTTGCCAATACTCAAAAAGTCTCTACTGCCTCATTACCACACTTTCTCTTTTGTGCCTTTCAGTCTGGCTTTCTCCTCCACACTGTTCTGCTGAAATGTTCTTTCCAAAGTCATCATTGGCAAAAAAAAAAAAAAAGAAGAAGAAGAAGAAAACAGAGTAAAACACAGTTGTCATTGGCCTCCTCCACACACACGTGAACTTCCTTGGAGTTCTCCTTGCACTTCTCCTCTCTGGAGTATCTGATGTTACTGACCATCCCCAACCTCCTCTCAGTTATTTTCTCTTCTTCTGTTCCATTGACCTCAGAAACAAGACACTCTCCTGGTTCTCCTCCCATTTCTCTGACAGTTTCTTCTCTGTCTATTTTCTTGAATCTTTATTTCCACCACATTAAGTTAAGGTGGATGTTGGTCAAGCCTCTGTCTTTGACCCTCTTTTCTCTCAACAATTGTGCTCTTGGCAATTTTATTCCCCCATAGGTTCAGATCTCCATCTCCAGCCCTGACTTTTCTTCTGTGCTCAGCACCCTCATCTCCACCTCCCCTCAGGAGGTCTCCATCCCTATGTCTTTTCAGTACTTCACACTCCCCATACTGAGTTTATATTTCTCCTTCTCAAGCCTGCCCCTCCTGATTTCACCTTTCTCCTATCAGAGGCACTATGATTCATCTTTCTTTGAGGAATCTCTGATGCCCACTCTCTCCCTCACCTGGAGCATCAAAACCCCTGACAATTCTTCTTCATCCTGCCTCCAGAGCAGCTTTCCCAGCCTTCCCATCCTCTCTTTCTCTCTGGGATCACGTTGGCCCACGTCCTCCTTACCCCCTGCCTGGAGTCTTCCATTAGCTTCCACACATGATCCCCACCTCCACTGCCTCCCTGCATTCTCCATCAGCTGCCAGGCTCCTCTGCCCTGCACGCAGCCCTGCTCAGGCCATTCCTGCCTCCAAAACCTTTAGTGGCTCTGTACTGTGGAGCTCACACTGGTTCACTTGGCCTTCATCCTGGGCTAAACCTCCCCTTCTAACCTTCTCCCTTCTTCCTCCATGTGCTCTGTGCTTTGGTCAGACTGGACCAGACCTGGTGCCCTAACGATGCCCTGCTCTTCCTGCTGCCAAGCCTTTGTACATGCAGTTCCCTGTTCTGGTAATACCCTTCCACCTCCTTTTCCTTTCAAATCCAATGTAATCACCACTATGTGTAGGAAGCCTTCCCTGATTCCTGTGTCACTAACACCTTCCCCATCAGTCTTCACATCTCATTTCATTTTGCTCCCTTCTTATGTACTTATTTGGTATTACTGTATGTTCCAATTATGTCTCTTGCTTTCTTATCCTAAGGAAACTCATTCCTAAACCGACCAACTTGAGAGTGGGGATACCTGTCTCATCTTAACTTTCTATCTTCCCAACTAAAGTATAGGGACCTGTACATAGTAGTTGTTGGATGGAACCAAATTATATGGGATGAAACTAAATACATAAATAAATATATATTGAACTAAAACACATTGAAAGAAAAGTTTTTGGAATTGAACTAAGCTATGTTCCAAATGATCTATCACTTCATTATAGAGGGAGCTCCAGATGAGTTTAATGAAAAAATCTCCTGAAATGGTTGCATTATTTGAAATCTCACTGCATATTTCCATTGGGTTGGAACCAATGACTCCATTTTACATAATTATGAATTCAATTAGTATGAACTGAAATGTATTAAATTGAGACTACTCAGGATCCAGGTATATGCATCGGTATTTTAAGGGTCTATGACTTTGTCAGTGTGGGAACAGCTAGAAAGATCTTTTGTATTGAAGTTGGCACAGAGAGTTTCAGTGACTTGCCCATGGTCACACAGAGAATAAGAGTCAGAGGCAGCATCTGGACCCATTTCTTCCTGCCTTCAAGTCCAGCACTCTGCCCACTCTGCTACACGTCTTTTCACTCTGCCATACACTAAATTTTTTAATCAGATTAAGCATCATATATCTCCAGCTCCATCAAGGCATGAAGTCAGGCCTTCCTCCGTTCTCTTCCCCACAGCCTCACCTGCCATGGGGCTGGACACAGAGAAGGCATCTAGGAGACATTTATCACTAGGCCAATGTGTATGGAAGCCATGCAGATGACAGTCAAGAAAGTCTCAGACCCTTCTTACACCACTCACTGTATGGCTTTTGAATGCCATATAAGGCCTGGCATCTTTGAAAGAGAATAAAATCATCCCCATTTTTGAGCTACGGGACAGAAAGGAGGTCTCCATCATCTTTTAGTGGGAAACACTAGGCCAGAAGGATCCAAGGGAGGGAAGAGGATTGAAACCATGAGTTAAGATTCACTTCCCAAAAGGAGTTTGCTCCTTTCTCAAAGCCTGTGATTTTACACCTGTCAAGGAGAAGAAAATGGCCAGATCCAGAGTTAGAAGAGCCGGGTCTCATTCCCAACCCAGACATTTCCAAATTGTATGATCTTGTTCGAAGCCCCTCCTCTCTCTGGGTCCCATTTTCCTCATTTATTAAATGAGGGGGCTTTGACTCTTTAGAATCATTTCCAGCTCCAACAGTCTGTGATTCAGAAGAAACCCATAAACCACACAGGACCTACCTGCTACATGCAGTTCAATGTGGGCTTCATCACAATTGTCAGGAGAACGGAAATGGCAAGTGTATGGACCAGAGTCAGAGACCTGGACCTGCTGGATCCTCAAGGTCACCTTCCCCTCAGCCATGTCACATTTCAGCAGCTCCGTCCTCCCCTGGAACTCAGTGCCCTGGGATCCCTCCAGCTTCTCCCCGGTGGGGTACCTGTGCACAAGGGTCTGGTTTCTGAACCAGTTCACAGTCATGTCCCAAGCATCCATCTTAGGGGAGAGTTGACAGGACAGTGTGATGTCTTCTCCCTGCTTGGCCCGAATGAGCTGAGCAGATCCAATCACTGAGAATGCTCCTTCCTGGCGCTCTAGGGACAGAGTAGAAGAAAATCAGAGGATAACGTAGGCCCAGCATTAAGAGTATTTGTTTGTGTATTTGGGGGCCCCAGTGGATGAAGGTCTGACTTCTGGATCAGCTGCTGCTCTGCTGTGGGCCCACTTCTGGAAAATCACTTTCCTTCCTGTGATCCCCTTGGAGACAAGACATTCTCTCTCCTGAATGCTTCCTATGGTCAGAAAGTCAGGGAAGCTTTATGGATGCTGAAGGGTTGGGGGTGGGGACAGGAAGGCAACAAATGTCATCCATGGCCTCTAGGGAGGTCCTGTACTAGCCTCTACTCTACCACTGCCCACAGGTAACTTATGAGGGCAGAGGAAGCCCAGGCTCCTGGGCTGGTGTTTGCCTGGCCCTTATGTGATTATTGGCTGTGCAGCTGAGCTAGGAGGAGGGTGGGCCACAGAGCCAGGTGAGGGCTCTATGTGGAGCAGTAGTTCAGCTTCCTGGGGAGTTGAGGAGTCTGGTCACCTGGATAGATGGATAGGTCTGTCTGGTGTCCTCATCTGGATCTCCCCTGGCTAGCATTGGCGAGGGTCTGATCCACTCATTCTTGGCAAGGTGTTATGATAGAAGATGGATTAATATGCCAATCCCTGCCAGAAATATCTAGACTTTAACAGGATCCTCCCAGAGTGTAATGAGCAGAGAATCTATGAGAGCCGAAAGACTTGGCTTCTGGATCTCACTCTGCTATCACCTTCCTGTGTGACTCCAGGCAAGTCCTCCCGCCCCTTTCAGAATCCTCTTGGTCATTTCCACCTTTGTCTGTGTGTCCATCATCTCCCCCTAGCCCCGAGCAATCTCCTTACCTTTCCATATCTTTCCCTGAGCACTAAAACTGAATCAACCCTAACCATTGCCTCAGGGAACATGCATCATTGGAATGCCCTAGTTTTACTCCTCAAATTCCCAAAAGCACTGCTCCCTGACATGGCCACCACTCTTCTTTTCCTCTTGTTGTGTGCCTCAATCTGCATTCAGACTCCACAGTTCTTTCTCTGCATGTAGATAGCATTTTCCTTCATGAGTCTTGGAATTATCTTAGATCATTGTATTACTGAGAAGAACGAAGTCTATCAAAGTTGGTCATTGCACAATGTTGCTGTTACTGTGTACAACATTTCCTGGTTCTGCTAACTTTACTCAGCATCAGTTCATGTAAGTCTTTGCAGGTTTTTCTGAAATCCACTGGTCATCATTTCATATAGAACAATAGTATTACATTTCATTCATATAACACAACTTGTTCAGCCATTCTCCAGTTGATGGGTATCCCTTCAATTTCTAATTCTTTTTTTATTAATTTATTTTGATTTATCAACAATCACTTCCATATGCTTTTGAGTTCAAAATTTTTCTCCCCCTTCCTTCCCACCACCCTTCCCAAGATGGTGTGCAATCTGATATAGGCTATACATCTACATTCCTATTAAACATATTTTCACATTACTGATGTTGTAAGTAAGAATTAGAACCAATAGGAGGAACCAACAGAAAGAGGAAACAAAACTCAACAGAAGAAAAAAAATAGCAAATAGTATGCTTTGATTTGCATTCAAACTCCATAGTTCTTTCTTTGGATGTGGATAGCATTTTCCATTACGAGGCCTTGGGAGATATCTCAGATCCTTGTATTGCTGGGAAGAGTTAAGTTTATCAATATTAGTCATTGCACAATGGTGGCTGTTATTGTGTACAACGTTCTCTTGGTTCTGCTCACTTCACTCAGCATCAGACCATACAAGTCTTTCTAAGATTTTCTGAAGTCAGCCTGTTCATCATTTCTTATAGCACAATAGTATTCCATTACATTCATATACCACAACTTGTTCAGCCATTCCCCAATTGATGGGCACCCTCTTAATTTCCAATTCTTTGCCACCACAAAAAGAGCTGCTATAAATATTTTTGTACACATGGGTCCTTTTCCCATTTGTATGATCTCTTTGGGATATAGACTTAGTAGTGATATTGCTGAATCAAAGGATATATACATAGTTTGGTTGCCCTTTTGGTATAGTTCGAAGTTGCTTTCCAGAAAGGTTGTTGCAGTTCAGAACACCACCAACAATGCATTAGTGTTCTAATTTTCCCACATTTTTTCCAACATTGATCATTTTCCTATTTTGCCATATTATTTAATCTGATATGTGTGAGGTGGTACTTCAGAGTTTTAATTTGCTTTTCTCTAATCAATAGTGATTTAGGGCATTTTTTTTCATATGACTATAGATAGCTTCAGTTTATTCATCTGAAAATTCCCAGTTCATAACCTTCACCCATTTATCAATTGGGGAATGACTTGTATTCTTATAAATTTGACTCAGTTCTCTTTATATTTTAGAAATGAGACCTTTATCAGAGACACTGGATGTAAAAATTATATCCTACTTTTCTGATTCCCTTCTAATCTTGGTTGCACTGTCTTTGTTGGTGCAAAAACCTTTAATTTCATATAATCAAAATTATCCATTTTGCATTTCATAATGTTCTCTATCTCTTGTTTGGTCATAAATTCTTACCTTCTCCATAGATCTGATAGGTAAACTGTTCCTTACTCTCCTAAACTGCTTGTAGTATGACCCTTTATGTCTAAATTATGAACCCATTTTGACCTTATTTTGGTATATGGTGTAAGATGTTGGTCTATGCCTAGTTTCTGCATACATTTTCCAGTTTTCCCAGAAGTTTTTGTGAGTTCTTATCCCAGAAGCTGGAGTCTTTGGTATTATCAACAGTAGATTACTATGGGCATTGGCTACTGTGTCTTGTGTACCTAATCTATTCCACTGATATACCATTCTATTTCTTAGCCAGTACCAAATACTTTTAACAATTGCTACTTTATAATAAAGTTTTGATCTTGTGTGGCTAGGCCACCTTCCTCTGCATTTTTCTTCATTAATTCCTTTGATATTTTATCATTTATTCTAGCTTTATAAAATAACACACTGGTATTTTGATTAGAATGGCACTAAGTAAATTAGTTTGGGTAGAATTATCATTTTTGTTATATTAGCTCAGCCTACCCATGACCAATTGTTTTTTTTCTAAATCTTTAGGTCTGGCTTTATTTGTGTGAAAAGTGTTTTGTAATTGTGTTCATATGGTTCCTGGGTTTGTCCTGTCAGGTAGATTCCCAAATATTTTATATTACCTACAGTTATTTTAAGTGAAATGTCTCTATCTCTTGACACTGGGCTTTGTTAATAATATATAGAAATGTCCCAGTGAGATAGAACTTTCTACCTGCTCAGTTGTCTTGGGCCATAAAATTATTTCACCAACTCTTTCGGTTGGTTCTGCCAATTCAGTATTCATTTTGAGGTGTTATTTTAAAGCTTTTGGAGGTAAATTTGGCAGAGCTCAGGGGAGTCCTTGCATTTAATCCTCCATTGTGCCTCCTCTTTGTTGCTTTTAGATAACTGTTTATAGCACCCGCACCATAGAACATCTCCACAACACCTGAAACTCCAGGTACCATCCTGTTGATTGGCATACCAGCTTATGTCCCTCTGAGCTAGAGGCATGAATGGTGATGGTGAGGTGAGGAGATCTGAACCAAGGTCTGGGGAGGTGAAGGAGCCTGGTATTAATGGGATTTGCTTCTTTTTGTGGCCTTTTCCCAAACACCATTACTCCTACAGCGCTAAACCTATCTGAGCATCAATCTGTCTATGTATAAAATGGGCATTATAATGCATTGTATCTACATCACATTAATAGTAGGAAGGAAATAATTATTGCTTTAATAACTATTATGTTCTAGATATTGCACTAAGGGCTCTATTAATATTATTTCATTTGAACCTAACAACAACCCTCAGAGATAGGTCTATTGTTATCCCATTTTTACAGTTGAGGAAACTGAGTTAGAAAGAGGTTAAATGATGAGCCCATGGTAACAAAGTTAGTAAGTATCTGAGGCTGTGTTAGAACTCAGGTCTATCCTGACTCCAGGCCCAGTTCTCTATTCACTGAACCACCTCTGCTGCCTCTTTAACCTCTGGTAGTAGTAGTCATCATCATCATCCTCATAAACCTAAAGATATATTGGAAAGAATAGCTGGTATGATTCTCCAAATCATTCTGCCTAGGATTAGAGACTCCCCATAATCTGATATTCACAGTCATATAGATCTCTTGGATACTGGGAACATCACTTATCTCATATAAAAAACTCACCCTCTTTCCCTCCAAACCCACCCTTCTTCCAGATGTCCCTCCTTCTGCTGAGGACACCAGAGTTCTTCTCATCCATTGAGGGTCACAGCCTCAGTGTCCTCACCTGCTTCCTGTCTCCTCCCACATGGACAGGCTCTGGTCAGTTCTGGAAGTTTCTGCCTCTACATTTCTCACTTCCTACCTCTCCCTCCACTCAGGAGCCCCCACCCTCGTTCTGCCCTCATCATCTCTCCCCTGGAATAACCACCATAGCCTCTCACTGGTCTCATGTCAAGTCTCTCCCCTTCCCATCCATCCTCCACTCAGCTGCCAAAGTGTTTTTCCTGGAGGGTAGGTCTGACTACGTCACTCCCTGCTCAAGAAACTTCAGTAGCTCCCTGGTACTTCTAGGGTTAAATACAAATGCTAACATCTTTTTACATCCTCCAAACATGGCTCCAACCTCCCAGCACAGCCTTATCACCTCATTTTCCTTCATATGTACTATGTCCAGTCACACTGGCCTTACTCTTCTCACACATGACACTGCTGTCCATCACCCCTACCTCTGTGTCTTTGCACTGGCTGTACCTCCTGCCTGGAATGCTGTCCCTCCTCACCTCTGCCTCTTGGCTGCCTTGGCTTCATTCCAGACTCAGCTCAATTCCTCTTCTGGAGGAGGCCAGCCCTGGTTCTCCCCACCTCTCACCTGCTGCTGGTTCCCCTGAAAAGCCTCCATTGGCATTTTCTCTATCTGACGTATACAGACATTTGCAGGTTGTTTCTCCCATCCCAGTGAGAGATCCT